ACTCCTCTAAAATGAAAGCTGAATGTTCTGCCATTGTCGTGAGCGACGCCGATAGAGTGGATATCTAATATTTCCAGTTTGTGTTTCCGAAAAAAAGAACGTATTGGCTCTCATTTTTCTCTGCAACGTGTTCCCTGACAGCGATGGAGATCTGTAAGATCTGTGGAGTAAAATAAAAATTAATAAGATAAATTATTAATAGAAACGAAAAAATTAGTTTATTATTAACTATGCCAAAAGGCAATATAGTGAAATTAAAAACAATAATTGATTGTAATGCGGAAAAAGAGTGCGAAAAAGTTAAGAATATTGGAAAAATGGATAGCAAACTGTGCGTTGTTTATTTTCTGAGATCTACAGATAATAAAATTTTTTTTTAGTTAATATATTTGCACATAATTTAATTAGCAATATAAAACTGCATAACCCTGATGTTGTAAACGTAAAGGAGGCAGCAGACTCCAAGCGACAACTGTTAAAAAATACCAAAAATCGGCCATTTTTGAGCAGCGTTGCCTACTCAAATTTGGTAAATTCAGCTAAATGCACGAAATTCTTGTGCATTACAAACTTGCATTAGCATGGGTCAAATGCGCAAATAAATGTAAATTAAGCCCGCTAATGCATATTAGCGCTGTCGTCTGTCGGGGCTATAAAGAAATGAGTGGTGTACTATATAAGTGTATACATGTATTGAATACATTTCCCTTGAATATGTTACATTTTTTATTAATTATAAAAAATATAATTACTTATCTACGTACTTATTAGTACTAGAATACAAATTGTGATATTTTTGGTGAATTGTTTCGCTTTCTCATGTTTATTTATATAGTATTGAAAAAGGCTAAATAACCAAAAAATTTTTATAAAATACTCAATCTAATACTTTTAAGCAGGGGCATCATTGGCAAATGTTATAAAAAATGTGAGGTTTGACAGCTCTCGCATCAAAGAGTTTCCTATCATCTTATCCATGACTCAACAGAGTACATCTAGCATCCAACAGCACCACATATACGTTGCTTCAAGATAAAGTTTATCAAACATCGTAACTGTTGTTCGAAAAGTCGTGCTGTGACATCGTAACGATCGCTTGGTGATTGACCGCGATCCATAATTCCACACGTATGTCATCGCATCCGGGGAGTACTCGGGCATGAGCTCTGTGTTGCCAATGTATGTTGATGCCAAAAAGAACGCCGACCGATATTAGCGCGATCTTTTCATGGCATCGTAACAAAGTCAACATACATTGGCAACCCAGGGCACATGATCTGGAAACTTTTTTCTTGTACAGCTGTGCTTTCGTGTTCTTAGAAATTTGTGTAATTTATATAAATTTAAAACTTTGTGGTGAAATTATCTGAATTAAGTGATACGTTAAGATAAGTATCACTGTTATATTGTTCTATTAAAGCAATTGAAATGTACTTTAATTGTGTTGGCTAATTTTAATTTATTCCGCCGACTCATTTTCAAATGGTTTTTGTGCTACATTTTAAATACTACAATTGTTAGTGTTAATTTAATTGCTCACTTAAATTTCTTGTTTTTATTCATTTCCATCTTTGTCCACAGCTATTTGTGAGTTTCTTACTTTTCCTGTGTTACAGTGCATCTCAAACTGATTGATACATTGGTTGTTATCTTTGATAATAAACTATTTTTATTGCATTTATCTGTTACATATTTTTTCGTCATTTATACTTTTATTATTTAACACTTTTTATATTTTTATTTAATATTGTTTTTTATCATTATGACTAGCAATTTTTCGAACTGCTCTGTGAAAGGCGAGTCGGAACGCTTTGTTTCTTGCTGGCTTTGTAACGGACTTGCCAATCTTAAATGTTCTGGACTGACAGGTAGGATATTGGAYTCTATTCTTGACAGTAAGGGCTTGCGCTGGTCTTGTTCAAATTTCTGACCAACAGAATTTAATTATTTAAAGTTTTTAGGCAGGCGCGGTTTCAAGGAGATTGGTCGTGAGCTTGAAAGTCTTACTGAAAAATTTAGGCATTATGAAACGTTGTTTAAATCATTTAAATGCCTAAATGTGCGAGAAGAGAACCCAAAACCTTCATCTAAACGTAATTGTCCGTCTGATGAAGATACCACTACATCTTCCTTAAAAAGAATGCCCACCCACCACTATTGACCTCATCAATCTTTCATCCCTTTGTCCTCAAGGAGAGAAGATTCCGTCTGCTCAGGACATTGAAAAAACTGGACCCAGTATATTGAAAACTCAAGATCTGCCTCCAAATAGCTCCAAGTCAGCTAATAAAAACTTAGTTGTAATACCGCGGAAAAAGGCAATTTTTTCTCAAGAATTAAATTTGAAAAATATGTTCCGAAGTGTGTTGTTACTCAAAAAATTAGTTCTAATTTATGGGTTTCGAAAGAATTATGTTAATTAAAAAACAGAAAATCTCGTGTTTTTAAACTTTTTAAAAACTTAGTTGCTGACTTTTCAAAATATTCTAAATTGCGTCGAATTTGTAAATTTGCTGAATTTAACAAAATAATAACATATTTTATAATTATATAAACAAAGTAAAAAATAATACTGTAAATAGTCCAAAATTGTTCTATGTTTCCGTCCGCTATGAAATATAAGTCTAGTATGTCTAGTGAAAATCACACCATTTCTAATATGCTTGTTGAATTCTTTAGGTGTAATCACTCTCCAAAATCTCCAAAATGTGTGCGATTCAGCACAAGTTATGTCCGATTTCTGTCATTAATGCACCTACCATTTCTGAAGCAGACATCTTATATCAGTTAAATATGTTAGAACAATCATATAATGCCCAGATATGATATATGATATGATTCCCTCATGCTTTCTTAAGAAATGTGCCAAATATATATACCAACCCTAACAACTATTTAATTCTTATGCAATTCTTATTTCCAAAAGTCATTTATAATTCCTCTACATATGAGTGGATATGCAAAGGAATTATAAATGACTTTTGGAAATAAACCTTGCATAATCAATAGGTCATCTATTGAAAACTATAGGGGAATAGCAAAGTTGTCAGCAATATCTAAACTTTTTGAAGCAATTATACCAGGCGATATAACCTTCTGGATCTCTCCACTAATTTCTTGTTCTCAGCACGGTTTTCGTAAAGGGAAATCTACAATAACTAATTTGCTTCAATTTGTATCACATGTTTCAACGGGCTTTAAGGAGAATAAGAATACTGATGTTATATACACAGATTTTAGTAAAGCTTTTGATAAAGTAAACTATTCAATTCTTTTGAATAAGTTTGATCTTCTTGGTTTTCAACCAAAATTTCTAAAATGGATTGCTTCTTATCTTAGTAATGGAATTCAACAATTCAAATTTAACGATACTTTTTCTGACATAATCAATGTTCCTTCAGGCGTTCCTCAAGGTAGCCATCTTGGTCCAATTCAATTCTTGTTATTTATTAATGACATATCATCTGTTTTTAAGTGTTCAAAAGTTTTATTATTTATTGAACTTTAAAAAATATAAAACGATGTGCTTTTCACTTAGTCTGTAGACCCTACTTCATACGCAATACAAAACTTTAGGTTGGAGCAAGTATGCAGTTTTATTGATCTAGGAGTAACTATGGACCCCGAACTCAATTTTAATCTTCACGCATCTTCCACGGTTTTAAAAGCTAAAGGCGCTCTTAGTTTTGTTAAACGTTGGTCTAAAGAATTTATAGATCCGCTTACCACAAAATTTTTTTTTTACATCTCTGATGAGACCTATATTAGAGTATGCTTATGTGGTTTGAAACCCTAGTTACCAAGTCCATTCGGATAAGTTAGAGACCGTTCAAACTAGAAAGTTATCATCAGAGCAGATAAACGACCATCTGGAACACACGAACGCACATTTAACGGTCCAACAATAGATGAAGCTGCAATCCTGATTCGTGTCCATTGAATGGCGAGTTTCAATATAATAGTTATTTAGAGAATATTGAACAAATTACTGGCAAAAGATTAAAAACAATTCTCCACGCATTTATAATTATGCTAAAAATATAGATACATACAAAATATATAAAATATATAATACTATTTTAATTTAAGGTGAAAAAACTACCAAGAAGAAGGCTAACTCGATAAATTATTAAGATTATTGTTTGATGATTCGATAAAATGCTGACAACTATTTTCTACGGTTTCTGCAGCAGTACTGTGCATCTACATCATTATGGTCAGCCAGATCTTTCTATTACTTTAACATGTAACCCAAAATGGATAAAAATGTCCAATTGCTGTTTTCCGGACAAACTTCAAGTGATCGACTTGACATCACAGCACGTGTATTTAGACAAAAAATGCGATCCTTGATGAAGTTCGGTGTTAAACAACGTTTTTTTGGAGAATCTTGATGCTGGATGTATTTAATCGAATGGCAAAAACGAGACTTGCCGCACGCATACATTCTTATTTGGTTAGTGGAAAGAATTCAACCAGACAAAATCGATAATGACGGATATGCCGAGATTCCCGATCACGAAGCCGATCCACAGCAGCATGATATTGCAGTTACAAATATGATTCATGGACCATGTAGCGTTATCAGTCTACAATAAATTTGCCTGATCGACGGCAACGATATCCATAACATTGAGAGATCTATGCAATGACTCGAGATGCTTTGGAGGCACGATGATTTTACTGTCCGAAGATTTGCGCCAAACATTACTAGTAATACCAAGATCATCTGCTGCAGGCGAAACAAACGCAAAAAATCATCGAATCTATGGCGCTATATGAAGAAACTTCAACTGACAACAAACATGAGAGTTGCATGAACGATACATCTGCTGAAGATTTATCTGAACAATTACTGACTATTGGTAACGCTCACAGAAAAGCTTGCCCGGATCCACTAGTATATATTATACATATATATATATACTAAAAGAAATATACACATATAGTACAAAACAAAAAATATTGTGGTATAACAACACAAAACAAAAGACAAAAACGGTTAAATTAAAAGTGTGGTAAACCAAATATACAGTGCGGTGAAGTGCAAAAACAAAAGAAAAACAATGTACAATGCAAAATTAATATAACACAAAAACAACAACGTCAAAATAAACACAACTCTAACATTACTAACAAATTAAATAGGGCGTGAAACTTAAAAAATATACTCGTGGAGTCAGTTAAACTAAATACAAATAAAGCTACAAAAACCAACAACAAATTGAGCAGCGGAATAGAAGCGACTGAACAACAGAAAGCCCACAGCACCCGTTTTTATCTAATTTAACTCCCCAGAATCGCTGAGAGGAATCAAAGTGAGTGTATCAACCATTATATACTTGTCTATCGTCACGTAAAATGCAAAATAACATATGATTAAAAAATTCGAAATTGAATGTTTCATTGATTACGAATCGTAATTTACGAAATTTCATACATACTATATAAGTACATATGTCTAACATTTTTAGATTATGCTATCAGACATAGCTCTGTTTTAACCAATATTTAAATTTTGTTTCATTCATCTTCCTTTTTATAACGTTTTCTATTATTTCCCCTGTAAATTTCCGAAAACGTTGTTACGTCATTTCGTATTTTAGTTAACAATATCTACATATATACAATTAGATATCGTTGCAGTAACGGTCAATATCATAAAACCGATAGCAATTAAATCCATTTATTAAAAACGATTAGTAAAAGCTCTAAATCAAGTTCCGATATAAACAAATACGGTAAATAATATATATATGTATCCCCAATATATGTATATATTTATATATCTTATGTATAAAAATTAAAAGCCTTTTTTGTGTGTCCACGCACCACGCCCCAACCATAGCACGGAAAGACGTGCACGGGCACTCCTTTAGTCCGGGAGAAGGTCAAGGAATTTCAAAACATAACCATGTGTTCAATATTCATGTAAGAATCATTTGAACATTTTTTTCTTCAAAAATTAGAAATTAAATCACACAGCTACTGGCAGGGTACGGTGGTTTTTGGTTACATACACATAATACTGTGATCAAATTGAAAGATGAATTTTCTCCATTTCATCTCCTTCAAAATAGCTCCCTCCCGCACTTATGCCAACAAATTTTCCAGTCATCATAGCACTTGGAAGAAGCCTCCGTCGTGATGTCAATCAGAGCCTCCTTCGATTCAACTTTTATGTCCTCAATTAAGTCAAAACGGTGTCCGCAGGAGTAGTCATGTAAATTTGCTGAATAGCTAGAAGTTACACGAACATAAATCAGACGAAACTTTAGTGGTTGTGCAGCAATATAAAATTCCTGGAGGTAAATATACACTTTAATAAAATAGTAATATTACTAAATGTAAAGAATTTTTAGTTATTGGATGCGTTGATGGTACCCACATAAACGAGCACATGTACATCAATAAAAAATGTTACCATAGTATTAACGCTATGGTAGTAAGTTGCTATTGTCATAAATTTTTTTAATATGTATATTTGATACATTTTGTATTGTCAGATATGTGATCACACTTACAAAATTTTGGCTATTAACTGTCAGGTGTTGGTGCAGCCCACGACTCATTTGTTTGAAAACACTCGGACCAAAGAAGAGTTTTGGAGGAACGACTGCGGCACAACAGGAATGAAAATTCATGGGTTTAAGTCTATTTTCTTTTTGTTCTTTTAACCACATTGATTTTATTTTTATTTTAACAGGGGATTCTGCCTACCCATTGGAACCATGGTGCATAACGCCTTATAGAAACGCTTCGGATGGTGCAAGTGAAGCTATGTTCCATGAAATTCATTCTAAGGCAAGAAGTTTCGTCGAACGAACTATCGGAATTTTAAAGGTACGCTGGAGAATTTTAGGATATGGCAAGAAAGGAAGGCACCATACGAGAAAAGTGTCCTCAGAATTGCGATTTTGATCAAAGAACAGATATCGACACTGGGGTAGCGAACCGCCTCATCGCAATTGGGCAAACAATAAGAGATCAAATAAAGTACTCTTTGATAAATTGAAAATGAAAATGTCTTTCACTTTATCCTTGTAAATATTTTTTCCTTCTAAGCAGAAATACAAAAATATTGTTCATATAAATTCATTATTTTAATTTTAATTAGTCGTTTCATCACGTTTGTTGCTTTTATAAAATTTCTTAAATACTAAATAAATAAAATTCAAAAATAAATAAAGCTCTATTAAATTAAAAAATTCATTAAATGCTTAAAACTAAAAATTCATTAAATACTTGAAATTAAAAATATATACATTCACGTGACGAATTTTTTAATAATTTCTTCTTAAGGTTTCAAGCTCAAATTTTTTTATTTCGTGGTCTAATTCCCGCGTTGATTGATGGATGCGGTACTTTTCCATCTTAATAGACCAATTTTTCTTGTGGTGCCAGCATTTTTTCTTGTGCAGCTACTAACCTCTCAAGCTTCTGGTCTTTGTAACTCCAACTTTTCGTCACTCTTAATTTTTCTCCTGTTTCTTCGCTGTTTTTGGGCCTGGTAAGGAACTGGGGAAAGGGTTTGCCTCCTCATCACTTCTATCACAATTAACGAAGCGTAGTTGGGATATTTCCAAATGCAGAAACATTTGTTATGCCCTCTACGCAAACTTTCAATCCAGCTGCTTCGATTAACAGTTCGTCCATCGCAGTGATCAGTTTTTCGTTATAGGGCTCTCCACCAGTTCGCTGCCTCGATGCCTTATTAAAGGAAAGCTTCGTTTTGCTTGGTATTTTTGACTAGCACAAACCTAAAAAAAATCATAAAAAATTAATATTTTATCAAAATACATATATTGCATATAAATTATATACATACGGCATTAAGCTGCTTCCCCAGTTCCTCCCATAATTTATTGAGCGCAATTCTTCCTTGCGAAGAGTTTGGAAAGTTAGTTTTTGCCAAGCATGGATGGCTTGCCATGAATTTCGCCATTATATATTTTTGGGTAGGATTTAGTTTATTAAAATTTGTCCTTAAATATATTTATTATTAAAAATTTTCGAAAATAATAAATTATTTACAATCTATTCATATTTTTAAATAAATTCGTCTGTTACGATCGATGTAACGATTCGACCCTTGTTCAAACTTTGAGCCCTAATATCAAGGATCACAACAATCATCCATAGCGTCTAAGGCACAAAATAGACTCAAATTCCAACAAAACAAGCCAATTATGAAATTACGGGAATGGGTGGAAGAGTAGTACAAAATTCAAATAAATACAAAAACTCACTACCCTAATTTCCCCCAAGCGGATAAGCGTATTCAAACGTCTTACCGCAACTTACAAACATGCTTCCAAGCTATCATAAAGATTCCAAGCATTGGCAAACGGTTACAAACTTAAAGCTAGCAGGTCCCAACTCCAACACCCCTGTTTAGACCTTCATTAGGCAGCGACCTTATATCGCAAATTATATATGTATATATTATAATAAAATTTCAAAAACCTTTCTAGCTTAAAATACTATATTCGGTTGGATACTAAGTGGACTACCAGTTGCCACAATGACAACTCAAGTTGAAGAAATCTCAAACGAGTACCTTAATTCGTAATTGAGAAAGTTTTGGAAGTTAGAAGAACTCCGAAGTGATAAATGCCCTCAACACCGCAGGGTTTTCCCTAAACAAGATAACAGCTAATTACCCAAATATCTTAAAATATTTACCAAACGACAATTTGTTGGATACTAATTTCCTTAAGTTCGAAAAGCAAAGCACAACAAAACCTTTGGGATTACAATGGAATACGATATCTGACCAGTTTTCATACACTTCTGAGTCAATATCCGCCATATCAAAGAGACAAATTTTATTCTGGGTGGCAAAACTTTTCGACCGAAACTGACTGGGATGAACAAGTTAAACCACTTCGTTTAGAAAAGTGGTCCCAGTTAGCGGGCAATCTTAGTGATATCTCACAGATACAAATCCCACGATAGGTAAACTATACCACAGATCGCAAAGTCGAACTACATGGCTTCTGTGATACCTCTGAAAAGGCATATTATGCCACCATTTATGTGACGATGTCACTAYTAAGAGAATCAAAGCCGACTAAAAGAAGCTCACTCTTAGTATTAATTCGTTTCCATCTCATAACTCTACCAGAATAATCATAACTTGCTACATTACTCATCCGTTATATACACATACTAATCCTACACGCAGAACATCGCTTGATGCAACATATTATATAATCCGCCAAAAATTTTATGTTCCCCGACTTAAGCCTGAAATAAAAAAGTGCATTTGCAGGTGAAGATCTGCACGATGCATAAACAGAAAATGAGGACGCAGATTATGGCAGCACTTCCACCGGAACGCTGCAACTTTGCTCTGCCTTTCACCACTACAGATTCGGATTTTGCTGGGCCTTTTCAGGTAAGGGCGTCCATGCTAAGGTCTCCCACACTAATGAATGACTACGTGGCTTGTTTTACGACAGAAACAGTGCACCTTGATCTATGTATGTACTAATCTGACAAAAGAGGCTTTCCCCGCGGCATTTACACGCTTCGTCGGACGACGCGGTTTTCCGTCAAAACTTGTATAAGGGCTTTTATTAAGCAAGTTTTCCCTAAGATCGTACAAAAGTACGGTCCGCAAGATATTAATTGGCAATTTATCCCCCCAAGTGCTCCTAATATGGGTGATTTATGTGAATCCGCAGTAAACATTTTTAAATCCAATTTTAAAAAAGGGCTAGACGCTACAAATTTAATTACAAAGAATTCGCAACATTATTAATTAGCATTGAAGCCGTACTCAATTCACTGTCGATCGTCCCGTAGAGATTTTGCCCGACATGCGCAACCAAGCCACACGGCACGGACCCGTCAGAGAGAAGTACTCACAGCACCTCGTGCCTGGCGTCCACATTATACACCATACTAACATCCATACATCAACAATATTGTTGTTAGCTATTGGTGGCGTTAACTTGTACGCATATGTATGTAGGTTTGTGCATTCTTTGTTCGGCACTGTTATACATATGGTATAAGCAGAGAACATAAAACATAGAGAAGGTTCAGGTTCGAACACTTGTAAAGTTTAAACAGGAGTCACCTGATAACCATGGAATTCACGTCGTGAAATGTTAACATAGTTTTGATTTTAGCAAAAGACGGCTTTGTTAACATGACCAACTAGGAAATATTCTTGACCAACCGAGGAATGAATTCTATTTATGCCATGAGATTTATACATTTCTTATGAATCAAACAAGCAAGCATAGAATTGCGTTTTGCCGTGGGCATTTTCATATCTATGCGCAATGAACATTTTTCTTAACCAGGGAATTATGTGGATATAATACACAAAATATGTTGATGTCAACATATCTTGATTTCTTTGGCCGATTAACAAGTTTCGATATAAAATATCAAAAAATGTGTTAATATTATGCCTATAAAGTAAAAATTATTTCCATATTTCAATTGATTAAATTTGAATTTAAAAAATGTGTACCTTTTTAAAAATACTCAAGTAAGTATCTGTTTAGATTCATCCTATTTTCAACAATTAAATTTTATTTCTTGCTCATAGACCGACAAGCAAAATAAACCAATGCTTACACAGGCCATACATATATTATTTTTTGGCACATTTGTCAGTATGTTATTATATACTTAGAAGTAAGTTAAAATTTAGATCACATGGAGGAAGTAAGCCAATGCGAAAAAATGATTAAAGGCAAATATTACTCATTCTACTCGCCACATCATGCAGTAGTAAAGACAGAAAAAAAACAACAAAGGTTACAGCTGTATTCAATGCCTCAAGATCCACCAGCTCGGAGAACTCCCTCAATGATATTCTATTCACGGGACCCACACTCCAACCAGATTTGACGCTCCTCATATTAAATTGGCGTATCAATGGGGATGTCGAAAAAATGTATCTACAAATAGTCGTACATAAAGATGATCAAGATTTTGAGCGAATTATTTTCCGAAAATCCCCCAATAGTCCACTATTTAAATTAAAAACAGTTACATTTGGCGTAAAAAGTGCCCCATTCCTAGTCATTTGTACACTCCATGAACTAGCAGAAGACACAAAGTCAGAATTTCCTCTGGCAACACAAGTCTTAAAAACTCAAAAGTATGCAGACGATATCCTGTCGGGAAGCCACTGCCTTCAATAAGCATACGAGTTCTTATCACAGATAAAAACAATTACAAGGGGACAATTACAAGGGATCACAACTAATCACGCAAATATATTAAAAAATATACTAAGTGACAATTCGTTGGATAGTAATTTCCTTATATTCGAAAAGAAAAATACAACAAAAACACTAGGCATCCAATTGTTTGCGATATCGGACCAATTTTCATATACTACAGAGTCCATATCCGCATTATCCGTCATAACAAAGAGACAGAGACCCCGCAGGATGGCTTTCGCCCCCGAATATAAAATGGAACTACACGGCTTCTGGTGACGCCTCTGAAAAGGTATATTGTGGCATTATCTATATGTGCATACAAAGCGATACCACAACTACAAGCCACCTACTAGTGGCAAAGCAACAGACTCGGTATATTTTGAGTCTGTTGGAATGTGCGGTACAAAGATACAAAAAAATGATGGCTCAAAATCAAACTAATCAAACTGGCTAAAATCAAACTTAAACGTTAACGTTGTTTATCAGCAATAACACAATTGCTTCAACAAAATGCTGCACAGGAAACTAGTTAGAAAAAGATCTAAAATACTTACAGCCATTTGAAGATAATGCAAAAAAATTACCTGCGTTTATTGACGCAATTGACAGAAGATAGTATTCAGAGTAGTTTATGATTTAAAAATTTTAGGATCGGTAAATAATTTTCTAATATTGAGTCCTCCAAAAAATTGGGGCACATGCAAACTAAGATTAAAACAGCACTTTACGCCAACAAAGGACCAGATGACTTTGACCAACGACGTCGCTAACCTTAGGGTGAGTAGTATCGGTAATGATACGGAATATAACAACATGGACAGACATGACAAATACGATCCAT